ATTTTTGGCTGATCGTGTAAGACACCAGCCGAGCCGAGCCGAGTTTTAGTAATTACCTTTGTAAGCCGTGTATTCTGACAAAAAGATATCGAAGTTTATCGGTCTTCTAGGACCGTACGCCCATGATCGTAGCAGAACAAGTGTGCAGCTGGTGATGGCGAGAGGACACATTTCCTAGGGATATATGCGTTAGGCCAAAAGAACTTGGCATAGCAAGATGCACGCTCTCTAGCAGTGAGAGTTGCAGCAGTCCGAGTAGTATTCATTATTTGTTTATTTGCTCATTGTGCAACTGCAAATTGAACGATCTCGCCCAACTAATTCCGAAGATTAGTGAGCAGTAGCTCGTAGTATGGAGCAAATCTCGATAGTTACAGAACGACAAATTGCCATGCTAAAGGATTTTAAACTGTACATTATGATTTAGTATTAGAAGCTGTGGGTTCTAATAACGGCTATCATAAAAGAAAAGCAAACTGGGATTTACGATTTATACGTTGCTTTTCGTGCCGCTTGCGTCTCTACCTTGTAAAGTAAGTTTTTGTTCTTAGTTCTTGTAAAATAAGTCCATACTGTGGGCACATTTGGAATAATAAAATCAGGACGACTTGGTAATAAAGTTTAGAGCGCGGAAAACGAAGGTAGGAAGGAGGCATTTATAACAAACGGAACGGTAATACAATTACAGTTGGAGTTTTCCTGTTGTAAAATAATACTTCAAACTTACAAGTTTAACGATGATCTGCGAATCTGTACGTGATAGAAAATAATTTTTCAGCTTGCTTAGGCATGCTAAGATCTCAAAACGTTTTCAGTTCAGTTCTTAACTAGTCTTCAGAAGTGAAAGTTATCAGCAGCCTTACCAGTAAATGATTGTTTTAATCAAAACACATTAGTTTAAGGCACAGGAGTATATTCTCTTTGGAGAGTGCATTGCGGATGGGTTTTGAGAACTTATTTTTTTGCCACATTGTTTCATGATAATAAAATTCCACTCTTGGGCTAGATCTATGAGATTGCTTCTGAACTGAACGCCGATAATTTTCTTTTGAGACCAGCACGAAGCATTGGACTACAAAGCTGATAAACACAAATTTTACAAAAAAACTGTAATTGCAGGGAATCAGGTAGTTGCGAGGAAGAGTATGAAAACTTTAACTGTCATGGATTACTGCACGATGTGGACCGGCCGGTGATGCTGATGTTACTAATCCGATCGCCTACCTGTGAGCATCAAAAGTCGCTTACGGTCAAAAAAAAGTTGTGACGAAGTGGAAAGTACTAATGGCTAGATGGGAGAACTCAAGTACTTCAACTGTAGAAGAGCTTAGAAGGCGTGAGAGTTAGACCATACCCAAAACCGGGTAGTTTTCACAGTGGGGTTCGATTGGGCACTACGCATGACAAAGGCCGAGTAAAAGAGCGACTGCGAAAAAGCTACGTCATGAAAAGCCAACAGAGATGTAGCATGGGGCGAATTCTGATTTCCCTAGGAATTAGAGAATTGCATTGAGCTGAATTTTTGTCACAAATGATATTACTGATTGCCAAATGCTCGAAATAAATTTGCAATCGATAGTATTTGCGATCATAGAATGTTTTTTGTTTTTCTAGGTTTGCATGAGCAGTTCCAAATAACAATAACGCCAAAGGGAAAGATTATCCGTTGTGGATTCCGGTATACGCTTCTCGCATTCGAGCTTCTGTTTTACCTTGGTTTTCGAATTTTTAACAAATAAGCTTTTTCTGAACTCTTGGCTGATCGGAAAGTTTAAAAAATTCAAATTACCAGACCCACTGCTTAAATAGAGGACAATTCCCATTGTTTTCCTGACTTAGGTTCCGAACCACTTCGAATGCAGTTTGGCTTAAACCTCTTGTTTATGCTACTGGCTTTATTAAAGTGGATTTGTTGGTGATTTCAGTTTACCGTCAATTTTGAAACGCTTACCGCAAGACCTTGTTGGGTGTTGTTACTACGATCTGGTTCATGAGGGCGATTTGCTTGATGTTTCACAGCATCACAAACAAGGTCTTTTCTTTCAACTGAAACAATTTACGTCTTATTTGTTGCAACAGATGAATAATTTCCTGCGGAACGGTGATCCCCCTCAGTTTCTACTGATAGACTGAGGCCAGGGATGGTTGAAGATTTTCTTTTAGTACATATAAGCGGTCGTAGATTTCTCGCATACTGTTCATAAACAATAGCATAAATGATCTTAAAAATGTAAAAAAAATATTAAATAGTGAAAGTGTATAAAGCCAATTCAGCATGACAGCAAACGGGCAAGAGATGGTTGCTTTTACCCGGGAAGGGTAAGTTCTGTTCAGAAGACGGTTGGACATAAACTGGCTTAAAAACTTATGAGCTATTTAAAGTGGAAATACTTGTAGAATGACTATTCGACAAGTTGAGCCCAGGAAGTGGGCTGATGAGCTGGTTTTGTAGAATAATGACGAATTGAAATTAAGGCTGATAATAAGAAATGCGAGTCGATTCTAACGTTCTGTTTTTTCATATCTGATACCCATGCCTTTGCCCTCCGAGAGAATCGTTTTGCGTGCACTCGTATCAAAAACAAAGTGGTGGTGCTTCGCTGGCATGATGTGAACTCGATTTGCGCCTTCGGAGAAAATTTTTGGGCCGCCAGATATTGACGCTAATGCGGGTCTCTTTATTCGGGAAGATCTGCGCACTTGAAGAGTGAATGTCTAAATGCTATTTGATCGATTTCGAGAGCCTCATGACTTTTTTAAATTCTGGACGGAAGATCTCAGCACAAAGCACGGAGGAAATCAATTTATTGTTCAGACGTTTTGAGGCGATACATCTGCATTGTTGCTGCAATTCATGCAAGGGAATTTCGGTTCATAGACCATCACTACCAAGGACCATCCCAAGTCGTTTTCCGCTTGCTCTTTAAACAACCCAGCAAAAAGGTAACGAGCAAGTAACTTATCATCGGCTGGTTACCATTGCTCGAAATGCATGCGAGTGCTTCTGTCTTTTCTAATCTGGCGAAATTGCTCAAAATCCATTTGTTAAGTCATCATTGTATAACTATCAACTGCTTCTGCATTTATTATGCGTTTTTTGCAGTTATGCAGTGCAGAAAACGCATATTGATGAGAGGTTGTATGTGTTTGTTTGTGTGTGAGTGTGTGTGTCTGTGTATGCGCTGTGCTTCTGTACCGATTTTTCATCTCGAGATCCACAAAAGCTACAGGACGGAAACCTTGGGAACTTAATTTACATGCGTGTACGGGCCCAAAATGGGCGGCCTTGTGCGCGAGGTCCTCACATACGAGCTCGCAAAGTTTTTTTCAGGTAAATTGCTAACTCGAGAACCTAAAAAGCTAGAATACTGTGATTTTAAGGGTGTGTTTCCCGCCCAAGTAGGTATTAGTGTATTCAAAACCAGCCCTCGGATATGCGTGGTATCCAAGCACGGGGCCGGCAAAGTTTTTATCGGATAAGTTCCTAATTCGAAAACCTGAAAAGCTAAAGGACTGGAATTTTGAGGGGGCATTCCCCATCTCAGTGGGTAATAATGAGCTCAAACCCAGGCACCGGGCATGCGTGGTACCCAAGTACGGGCCCGTGCAATTTTTTTCGAGTAAGTTGCTAACTTGGAAACCTGGGAAGCTAGGGGATTGGAATTTTAAGGGGATGTTCCCCACCCAAGTAGGTGTTAATGAGCTCAAACCCAGATACCGGTTTTGCGCGGTACCCACATATGGGCCTGCCAAGGTTTTTTCCGGGTAAGTTGCTAAATCGGAGAACTGAAAAATTAGAAAGCTGAGATTTTAAGGGGTTGTTTCCTGATAGTTCTAGCGGCCAGTCTTAATTTGTTTAGCTAGAAGCATTTGCCGGGAAAACCGGTGCCTGTAGCGACAAAAATTGCGGGGAGCTGTGCAAAAAACGCATCTTTGCACGGGCAGCTCGTGCGTTGGCCAATTATTTGCTGTCTTGTTAAAATGCGTTTTGCAAAACTTAATTTAGTATTAACTCTTGGCGAAGCAAAGGAAACGAGTTACAGAATAAGGACTACGGATAGGGAGTGCGTTAGAATTGATTCGACCTGGTTTTCATTCAGGAATCCATGGAGCCAAAAAATACAATTCATTATCATCAATCATCGAAATAGGTAAAGCATCATTTTGCACATGGCATTTACCGTGCTGTTCTATCAGCACTGTGTCACCCTCTCACATTTTTAAAATCTTAAATTCTTGCGCACTTACCTATCTGGCGAGCAGAAGCATTCGTCTTTGTGGTTCTTGAAAGCGTTCCTTCTCAACTCCAAATAAAAGCCAGCACTACTCTTTGCATCAAAACGTTTTTTTGCTGTTTTTTGTCAATTTTTTATGCGTTTTTTTCAGCTATGCAATGCAGAAAACGCATATTGTTCAAGGCTGTCTGTGTCTGTATGTGTGTTTGTGTGTCTGTGTGTGCGCTGTGCGTCTGTACTGATTTTTCATCTCGAGATCCACAAAAGCTACAGGACTGAAACTTTGGGAACTTAATCTGCATGCGTGTGCGGGCGCTCATCTCAAAAATGGGCGGTCTTACCGGCGTGGTGTCTAAGTACTTGCCCGTGAAGGTTTTTTGCTTGGTAAGTCGCTAACTCGGGAACCAAAAAAGCTAGAAAGCTGAAATTTTAAGGGGCTATTCTCCGTCCGAGTAGGTATTAAAGAGTTTAAACCCAGCCTTCGGATATGCGTGGTACCCAAACACAGGGCCGGCAAAGCTTTTTTCGGGTAAGTTCCTAACTCGAAAGCTTGAAAAGCTAGAAGATTAGGATTTTAAGGGAGTGTTTTCCATCCTTGTAGGTATTAATGAGCTCAAACCCAGCCCTCGGTTATGCGTGGTTCTCACGTACGGGCCCGTGAAATTTTTTTCTCGGGTAAACTGCCAACTCGGGAACCTGGGAAGCTAAAGGACTGGAATTTTAAGGGGATGTTCCCCATTCAAGTAGGTGTTAATGAGCTCAAACCCAGGCACCGGGTGTGCGTAGTACCCACGTATGGGCCTGGTAAGATTTTTTCGGATAAGTTGCTAACTCGGGAAACTGAAAAGTTGGAAAGCTTAGATTTTGAGGGAGTGTTTCTGACAGTTCTATTATGCCCAGTCTTAATTTGTTTAGCTAGAAGCATTTGCCGGAAAAACCGGTGCCGGTAGCAACAAAAACTGCGGGAAACTGTGCAAAAAACGCATCTCGTGCGGTCAGCCCGTGCGTTGGCCAATTATTTAGAGCTGGGAAGTTTTGCATAAGGTGCTTAAATGTTTTAAAATTAAAAAATACGACGCTCTCACCTTTTTTACAGTTCAGTGAGATGCGATGAAGAGTCAAGCCCGGAGCAGAGTGTTCTAAAGCAGTTGCTCTCGAAGAAACAGCCTCGATGCAGCACTCCAAGTAAATTTTTTAGCCGTGAAACTCACAACATAGCTGAAACCAAACGTTTCAGATCCAGTCGGTTATTCCAGTGTTGTTTCTCTGCAGTAATTTGCAGTCCTAAAAGTAGCTCCTTTAACACATACATATACGCAGGCATAAATACAGGCTGACGAATAAACACATTCATATTAGGCAGACAACCTTCGACAATGTACGTTTTTGCATATTATCAGTAGTGTAAAACGGATGCGAACTAGAAGCTAGATGGCGACGCACCAGGTTCACCATTGTGATCATACGTTTATGTGTGTTATTGCATGTATGCATATGCAAGAAGGCACACTGTGCCGACTCATGGTGCGAGTGTGTGTATGTCTGTATGTTGTGTTTATATGTCCGTCCTGGTGTTTCAAATCGACAACTAAACAAGCTTCGGCTCTGAAATCTTGCCAGCGGTTTCTCAGGCCAAGTGCCACCCTAGAACAGCGATACCAATTTTTCAGGTATGTCTGAGCCCTACGTATCAGCAAGTGAAAGTTTAGGCGAGAAAATTGCTAAATTGAGAAACAAAGAAGCTGGAGAGCAGAAATTTCAAGGGGATGTTACCTGTCCACGTATAGCATGAGGATTTCAAATTCAACTGCCTGGCACGCGTGATGCTCATGTGCGGGCATGTGAAAGTATAGGTGTGAAAATCGCTAAGAGAATCTGGAAAGCTGAAATTTTAACGGAATGCTCCCTGTCCAACTTAAAGATATCAAATTCAGACCCCAGGTGTGCATGGTTCTCAGGTGCGGGCACTTAGAAGTTTTGGCGGAAAAATTGCTCCCTGAAGAGCTAAGTAATTTTCAAAGAATGACCGTTAAACGGAAATTGTACATTTCTCTTTATGCAAAATTTATGGTGCTTTATGTTAGTGAGTGAACAAGATAGGTGTAAAGCAGCAACCATTCATGCAATTCATAACCTGATTGCTTCAAGTTAAGTGCAACCAGACTGGAACGCACTAGGATAGCCGCTGCATTTTTGCTCAACTTTTGACGCAAATTTCACTCAGAAGCGAGTGCATTTTGCAGCGAACGACCGCCCTCATCCTCTCCCAATATTTAGTTCCAGTTCTTCACTAAAAAGTGGAAGTGTTGCTACAGCGGTCGTGCGTCAAAAAATCCAAATATTTAAATGAAGTGGATGTTGGAAGAGAATGAGGGCGGTCGTTCGCTGCTTTCTGAGTTTGTGGTAAAGTTGAGTATTTCCCATACCCACCTGCAGGGAATTTCACTTCCAAGCAGAATCAAGACCACATTTGAAAGTAGAATATCCCAGCGAAGTTTCAGCCTTGTACATTATCCAGTAAGCGAAATAGCTGCTTCGCTACAAATATCTTTGAAGTGCCCAAAGTCGTGGCGCAAATGCAAATCGGAACTCATTTTGGGTATACAATTGTGGACGATAAATATAGACAAAATTTCAGCCACTATTTTCCGGCTAGTTTTCGAGTTAGCACAGTTTCAGGTGCAAACTTTGACGTGACCGTATGCGCAAACAAACGCAGTGGCGAATTTGAAATTTTTAGCCCACACAAGCACACAGAATATCTCTGCAAAGTTTTAGCTTTCTATCCTGCCTAGTCCCTAAAATCGTTTCCCCCCAAAGGAACTTGCATATTTCTTCCGGAGGTCCATAAGCGAGATCTAGGTGTGTATGAGGAAAGATCTTAACCCAGGCTGGAACGCACCAGCCA